TTCACAAGGGCAGGGATCATTGCCTTATTGCCTGTTTTATTCACTGCTATATCAATAGTATTTAGAAAATATCTGGTGCAAGTTAAGTATTTGTTGAATGAACCAATTAACTGGACACTGGGCAATTGAATGAAAAAGGGGGAAAAACACTAGAAATGCAGTCTGAGCCTAGAAAACCTTAAGAACATGAAGACAATAAAGAACAGAGCAGGTTTCTGAAGAGGAGAATAGGGCCAGGCGCAATGGCTCACTCCTGTAATTCCAGCACTTTGGGAGGTTGAGGTGGGAGGATCCCTTCAGCCCAGGAGTTCAAGACCAGTCTGGGCAATATAGTGAGACTCCATTGCTATAAAATTAAAAAAAAAAATTAGGTGGGCATGGTGGCATCCACCTGTGGTCCCAACTACTAAGGAGGCCAATGTGGGAGAATCGCTTGAGCCCAGGAAGCAGAGGTTGCAGTAAGACACTACACTCCAGCCTGGGCGACAGAGGGAGACCTTGTCAGAAAAGAAAAAAAAAGAATAGAGTGATTTATGTTATTTATTGATTAGTATTTATTAATATTGAAATTCTGGAGGCAATGTCAATTGCCTGAAGAGGAGAGCCTATAGACAAGGTAAGTATGAGTATGGAAGTGGGACTTGAGACTCAGCTGGACCTGGCAGGATTTGACAAATGACTTAGATATAGGGGTGGGAAAAAAAGGAATGAATTAAATGCTTCTAGAGATTTCCAAATTGAGTGAGCAGAAGAATGATGGCATCACTATATAATAAAAGGAGAACAGGCAAATAGCAAGTTCTGGTGGAGGAAAAAAAAAAATCAAGTTCTGTTTTCAGGCATATTAAAGTGCTGACTTGAAATCTATATGGAAAAGTTTCACATGAGGAAATTCAGATTTGGTGTTCAGAAGTGAGCCAGGATGAAAGCTGTGGATGAACTCAATCTGTGAATATTTACTCTGCTTACTCTGCACCAGCACTAACATTGAAGCCATAGGCATAACAGTGGTAGCTATATGGATGTGCATGCCCTGAATGTGGGATAAGATCTTGCGAAACATACATATATATATTTAAGAGAAAAGAGGGAAAAGAACCACTGGGCGAGACTAAGCTAGATTGATGAGAAATAAGAGAACGATGCACCAAGATTAAGGGAGAATTTTTAAAGGAAGCTAAAGGGAAGGTGTACGAGCTACTGAAATCCTTGAGAATCTTCCTAATTCTGTAGTTCCCTTCAGATTATGGATGAAAATATTCAAAAAAGTGTCAAGTAGGAATCAAGCTCTTCAAAAAGAAAACTGGGAACACATACAAATCTTGCAAATGTCAAGAAACCAGTGAAATCTCAAAGAAAGTGGAAAAAGAAATACGGTTCTAGCACAAAATCTGCTACTGCAATTTTCAGTGAATCATTAAACTCTATATACCTCCAGCCACTCACACAGAAAACAGAGTTTGTTTGTTTAAAATGAGGTTTGGGGGAAAATAACAATACGAATTTAGGAGCATAGGGAGGACTAGGAAGGATGTTTAAATATAAGACATAGTTTCTGTCCTTAAGTTACAAAGTCATTTTGAACTAAGAACAAAATATACAAAGGTACTTAAACTATATGCTTTACTTAGAGTTCCACAGGAAATAACAAATATTAAACAATAACACATATGCAATCATCATTAATGCAAATCAGGTCAGTAAATGCCCTACTGATACTCTGGTTTGAGGGTCTTCCTCATAGACTTGAGTTGAGATCCTTAAGTTAAGATTCTCAAGATACTCAATTCAAGATCCTTGAGTTGAAATATTGAGCTGGGGTCACTCAAACATCGACTACACAATACACTCATTATCATAAAGCAGTTTGATTGGTTTAAATTATACATTTTAGAAACTAGACTGAAATTCTAATTAATAAAAAATTGTTTGATAAAGTATAATTAATAGCAACATAAGGGAAAAAAAAAACCCACCAAGCTGTGGTAGAGTGGGTGATGTCAAAACCCTCTGACTGTATAATTCTCCTAGGATGAGTTCTTGCAGACTATAAGCCAAGGGCATAAACATCTTTAAGAGTTCCAATGCATGATGACAAAGCACCTTTCAGAAATGGAATACCAGTTTACATTCTTAAAAGCAGCTGAAAAAGTACTTGTCTTGACATTCTTGCCACCATTTAGTACTGTTATTTTCAAATCCTGTTAACTTGACAGAAGAAGAAAAAGTATATTGTCACTTTTGTTTCACTGAATGATTTAGGCTTCTTTCTGGACATGCTTCTTACTGATTTGTAAAGTTCTTTCTGTATAAAAGAGATAGATCCTATAATCATTGCTAACACCCACAGAAGAATCACCCTCACTAACTTGATGCTTCCAGACTACATAGCATAAAATTGTGATTAACTGGCTAATGGCAAATTCAGCCTGCCTTCCTGATGCTTGGCAAGGCTTTTTTACTTTTTGGTGCTCCTCTAATCAGAATTCCAGTGGCTGGCTATTGTAAACCTCCTCTGCTTTCCTTAAACTCCAATCCAAGCCTGAATTCCCTTCCTGTAGGCTTGTCAGACCATGAGCATCCAGGACAGAGAGATTCCCAGAGTCTAGAATAATAGTACCAGGCACATGAGAGACCAGATAAATAATTACTACACTGGCATGGCATGGCATGGCTTAAAAGACATATATCGGAAACATTTGGTTTGAAACTCTAGCTTTGCACCTCATTCACCATGCGTTCCTGGGCAAATTAAGCTTCCTATGCTACATTTTACTCATAAATAGGATGGCATTTAATAGCTACCTCACAGGGTGCTACGAAGCTATGTACCAAATACAAGGCATGGCATTTGGCCGGTCATCAGTCATTGTTAGCTTCCTTCAATCCCCAAATTGGTCTGATCTTTCTCAGGATTTGACAGCTTGAAATTGATTTCTACATAGCTACATTTACTATCTTTTCTTCATGTCAGTCCAATGGGCAATGAGGACACATTAATGGGTATTTATACTACAAAATCAAGTTCCTGGCACTGAAGGATTTGCACAATTTAGCTCCATTTTACCTCTTCAAATTTATCTCATACTCCTCCCCGTAAAAAATTTTCTATCTAAGCCAGAGTAGACTTTTACTCAATTTTCCTGAATGCACCTTGAACATTTAGATGTATATGTATCTTCCTTCCATTCTCTATGGCTCTCTTAACTATCCGAATGCTTCTCATTGTTAAGACACAGCATTATTACTGTTATTTTTATTGGCTAACATTTATTAAGTGCCTTCCATGTGTCAGGTAGTAGTCTAAGTGCATTATATGTTGCTAAATCTTCATAAGCCTGCAAGACATTCTATCATTACCTCTATTAAGCTCTAAAAATTAAACATTAAAGATTAATTAATAACTAAATATTTATTATTAATTATTAAATATAAAATATATATTTATATATTTATATTTTATATATTTATCTTTCTTCTTTAACTAGACTTTGCACTCTTGTATGAGATGAACTATGCCTTGTACAGGCATCTTTGTATAGGCATCTACTTAAGCAGAAATTCAATGAGCATGTATGGATTAATTGGATTTTCATTCTTATTTTGTTTCTGTAAGATGCCACAATGCTCACTGTCATTAAATGTATCACTTTATCCAACTGTAAAGTAAAGAAGTTCACTTAAATGCAATATATATAGGTATTTTTAGAGATCTGAGTCCATCTGCAGACATACCATAAAGATTCTGCATGCCAAAGAAAAGAATGGCTGAAGTAGTAGGGTTTGAGTTCTTATAAATAAATCCTTAGGAATACTAGGATCATGACAGCTTGATTATTCTTAAGGCCACTGTTAGCAACAATGAGAAAATACATGTAAATTAAAAATTATGAAGCAGTACATGCAACTAACATTCATAAAACATGATAGTAAATTGACCCTTGTCTTGCAGATTTCAGCAATGTCTTACTGCTGTAAGGAGAGAAGAGAAACTCAGGACGTCCAATTTCTTTACTGCAATTGTTGTATAGGAAAAGCATAACTTTTCTTACCTACAAATCAATATTCAACGATATCACCTTCCCCTGCTGGAAGAAATAATCATTTGGGATGTCTACAAAATAAAATGTGTTTCCAGGGATTCTCTAAAATTATATGACTATGGTAAGTAGCATTTATTTTCCACCTAGATTTCTTGAGGATATAGTACAAATGTTCAAATTATCTCTTTCATAACAGATTTAGCCAAGTCCAAAGACACAAAAAATGCTTACAAGAAATCACTAAAGGTTTTTGCTCAAAGCAATAGGAAAAAAGAAAAAAAAGAACTCACTAAAGGAGCAGCAAGTCAACCTCAAGTAATAGTTGAGATTAAATCACAAAGAATAGGAACCTATGTACTCTTAAATAAAATTAACAATTTAAAAAATTACTTTCTAATTAACTTATGAAAATAAAAATTTTCATGATTGTATGTGCTGTTACTTTTTTTAAAGGCTAAAGATGCTGAGGGTTTCAAATTAGCTTGCTTATAGTTAAGGCTGAAAACAAGAAAGGCTACTAGGCAGATTAAACCATATGCTTAATTCATAAAGGGAAATAAAAAAAATGCTAGTGCATAGCACATTCCAGTGAAGGGGAGAAAAAAAGGTTAATCAATTCAACTCAATTTTAGCTGAGGGCATTTTTCCACGACTACTGAACTCTAGCATGTGTCAGGCAGCTAAAATTACACTAAAATGTGTCAGTTCTGTTGTTATTTTAGAGATAATCCAGGAAGCAAAACAAAGCCAAAAATTCTCTCTGCATTTTAAACATAAAATGCTTTAATTTTCTGTCAAGTGTATACGTTTTTCTGTTTTAAGATCTTTTGTATTGTTTCCTTTTTTATGTCCACTTGAAAGTTTCCATAACAGAAAGTAAAAGAAAAAAAACCATGATTTTGTATGTATTTATATGTATTTTCAAGACATTATTCACCCTTTAAAAACAATTCTTACCAGTCTCTGTTTCTGAAGCTCTTCTCGAAGAATTCTATCTTCTGGTAAAACGTCACATAACAAAAAATAATTTTCTTGTTCTTCTGTTGAGAGGTTAGGAAAACAAATAAGAAAAAAGATATTTACCATTTTTTTCCCTGAAGGACTTCTTAAAAAATACACGTTTGTGTCTATCAGGATCTCTTTGACACAGAATTGTTTTAACTTTATTCAAGTTAGGCCAAATAAATGCATCAATTTAAATTAAGCTATCATGAAAGTAAAAGCAATTCTAATATAAGACAATAAGATTATTCCTTTGAATTTTGGTATTGTAGGGAAAAGATGGTAGCGAGAATGCATACTTACCAAATGGAGCAGTGGAATTAATTCTTATCACACTACAAAAATCTGTGATGGGCTGTTCAGTGAACCTTTTCCTCCAATATAAAATGTACCTTAGAACAATACAAAATAAGGAATGATGAGAAAACTCAATATACTATTTACTTTAGAATGCTTTATAAGCATATTCAGTTATCCCAAAGCAACAAATCAAATGTTAACTTAAAACTGCTTTTCTAGCAGTTTTTTTGTGAATACAAAGGCAGTGGAGCATTATAAAAGTATGAAATAAAGATTTAATAAAAAGGAATTACCATGTAAGGGCATGAAAACACCTAAATTTACTTTCCCCAAATTCAATAAACATACATGTAGAAAAGTTAAAATATATTTTTTATGTGATAATGAATTTTTCTGAAATAACATCTAAGTTTATGTGTCTTCAAAATGTAGTAATGATTAAATAGACTATAACACATTCTGCAATAAAGAGAAAACTGAGTGGTTATCTTATATATAAATAGTGAATAATGCAATGAGAAATAGGTCTAAATTCAATATCTACGTAACAAGATAGAAAAATTCCATACGTCCGCACTGTGTCTGGAATGAGGCAAATTTAGACTTTGGGGAAATAGCCTAACTTACAATTCTTCTATCTAATGAGCAGAGTTAGAAGCAGCACACCAGCTAAATTAAAAACCAAAGCATAACACCCAGACCTGCATATGTGATGAAAGAGGGGGTAAAATGACAGGATTTAACAAGTGGTTCATCCTTCCATTTATCTAACAAGATTTATATTGGCAATTGCAATGTCATTTATTGAATGGTACCAAGAAGAGAGTGTTATCTTCACAGGGAGAAAGGAAAAGGAAAGGTTGACTCTATAGCTCCCGATTTATCAGGCCACACAACTGAGGGATAAAACAAGTAACTTATACCAACAAACCAAAGCCTTATACAGAAATGAGACATTGAAATAGATGAAGTATATGGAAAGAGTAGGAATTTGGACATTTTAAATGGCTTGACATAGCACATCTAGGGAACGTTTTGGAAATAGTAGGTCCACAGTAAATGTTTTAAAGAAGTAGAGAATTTGAAAATTCCTGTAAAGTTCTCTAAGTAGTCCCCTATTCCCAATATTTTGTCCCCTTTTTATTATTTTTTCTTAACATTAATTTTCCATTCCCATGGTGCTCTATGGAAAGGGCATTTGTGTATTAGAAATCTATGCTGGCGAGAGGTCTGGGAGAAGAGAGAAATATGACGAGCTGACATCTAATAAAAATACATTGAATAAATACAGAATATGTGAGAAAAGGAAGTCAATGAATAGTGCATAAAAACAGAACGCCATGTTTAAGTTCTTCTTCTCCTATACAACCATACTATTAACTTTGATGTGTAAGTAAGGGGAGAACCCTTTCCTTATAAAACAGTGCTAGATTTTGTCCTAAGAGATCTGAAAATGACAATCTTTAGCTCCCATTGAGCCTTAAAATACATGAATGATGCACGCTACTCTATGGCTAACTCACTGGCTTCCATATTAGAAATCTCACAAGGTGGCAAGTGCATATTGGATACATCACAGCAGAAATAGAGAAAAAGTTCCTACAAAAGCTGGGACATTATTTCCTTAGCCATCCTGGGCCAGCTTCAACACCTCGTACTCCTCAGTCTCCTACATGGCTAATCCTAGTCTCTATCTTTCCATTCCTTGCTAGTTGCTTTCCCCTCCACTCCATGGGAGAGAGGAAAAAGGGAGAAAGAGAAGACAAGAGGAGGCTTAAGAGAATAAAAATGACATTCGTAATCCTTATTCTCCCCTCAGTACATTTTCTATTCCAAAGTGGTGACAGGGATGAAGGAAAACTGTCGAGCCTATACTAGAGATGTCAGCAACAGAAGATGGATTATTCTTCTAAATTAAAATATAGACATCCATTTTCATGACTAATCAAATTTGTACATGGCAGAACCAGGTGCTAAGATAACTGACTTCAAAAGGCAGGAAGGCCAAGTTTCCTCTGGAGATTCTTTATGGCTATTGCTAGAATACACCAAAGAGAGGATCATCAGTGCTGGTTGCCATTCCACTGAGGACTACCTGGATGATATCCTCTAGACAAAGCAGAATGGTCAGCCCAATATAATTATTTCAATTCTGGGTCTAGAGCCTGTTGAAAGGCAGTGATAATTCCTTGAATACACAGACAACTTTACTTTGGAAAATGTTCACAGTCTTAGAAAAGTATCTGTGTGAAACCATGTGGAACAGATGACCAGGTAAGAGCTTTGGATCCTAGTGAACAGGCTGCTTTTTGAATTATTAATGACTTTTTTTTTTAGATAATGTCTGGCTCTATTGCCCAGGCTGGAGTGCAGTGGCATGATCTTGGCTCTTTGCAACCTCTGCCTCCTGGGTTCAAGCCATCTTCTACTTGAGCAGCTGGGACTACAGGCATGCACCACCATGCCCAACTAATTTTCCTATTTATTAGTAGAGGTGGGGTTTTGCCATGTTGCCCAGGCTAGTCTTGAACTCATGAGCTCAAGCAATCTGCCTGCCTTGGCCTCCCAAAGTGCTGGGATTGCAGGTGAAAGCCACTGTGCCTGGCCATGACTTTTTTTTTAATGGACAATCGATACTGTCCATTGCTTATCTGCACAGATCTTATGCTAGAAGCAGTTTTACTTTTTAAATTAAGACAGTCATCAAAGTATCATAGTTAATGTATTAATTATCACCCCAGAAGCAATGGTGAATACAGAAGCAGGGACTTTGAGTTAAAAAATATAAGCCTAAATTTAAAGTTATTTAATCTTTCTGAAGCTCAGTTGATTCATCTGCAAAATAAATTGTTGATAATTAAATAGAATAATGCATGTAAAGCAGTGTCCAAAATTCTGGGTGTTTAAGATATGTGACAGTTATCACTATAAAAAAAGTAACATATTTAAATGACTAAGGTAGTGAAGAATTTATGTTTATTCCAGGGACATAATGGGACACACAACAAATTCAAAACAAAAGCAACAATAACATTCCAGCAAGCATTTGATGAAAAAGACAAAATAGTTATATTAATAGTGTCAGAGGGCACATATAGGTAGAAGAGAAGAATGATGATGGTGACAACAATGACAATTATTAGCAGCTACCATTTAATGAGTCCTTACTTGTCCACAGTCACACAATTAAAATGTTAGATTTGAGATGTGAACTTTGTCTCTCCGGCTCCAAGGCCAAACTCAGTCTTCTACAACACAGTTCCTCTATTGTCATGTGGGGACCATTCGGTACAAGAAATGCAGAAAAGGGAAGGCAGGGACAGGAAAAAGCCCCTACAGTTAAAGTTGTAATAGAGAATTGAAGCATTTTTTCCCCTCAGAGACCAGTGAGGTCACATAGAATGCTTTTTGACAAGGCAGAACCAGAAGTACAGAAATGAAGTCTGAAGAAAAACAGAATGTTTTCCCTTTCTGAAAGGCATGCTACTTAACAGTAGCCTTCAGTCTGAACTGCTCCTAAGTTGCTACCGAAGGGCTGAAAATTGACACCGGCTGTTTGGGGCTGTTGATTTGGAACTGCTTAACTAGGCAAGGAAAAGGCGCAAAGAAGTTCCACTACAGAAGTAACAAGAGCCTGATTCCAATAATCAGTGGGTCTCAGTCTCCAAAAACTTCTATGTTTGGGTACTGTCTCTTTGATGTCTGAAGAGAAGAATCACATGACATGCTTATTTTCTATGAGAGTTTACTTCAAGGTGATATACACAAGGGAAGCAATTAGTGACATCAATTGACTTAAAATCATGGGGAGATTCTGTCTAGCAGAACCTCAGTTGCCTTCCTCAAATAGGAAGTGCTTCCCATGGGATAAAGCAGGTAATAGGTTAGTCCAGGAGGAACAAAGTTGTCATTTGAGTGTTCTCTTTCTAACCAAAACTTGGGTGACAACATCAAAGAAAAAAATCATCTGTTACAAAGCAAAATATACCCATAAACCACCATACAACTTAAATATATAAAATTATGCATCATATCTTTCTGTGGTATACTATGGACATCAACAGCAACATACATTTGACCTATGTCTAAATTGGAGTAAAGAAACATCCTAGTCATTAAACACATATCAGTGGTTTTTAAGCTTATAATTAGGAGGTGTTAATAGTGTCAGAGGGCACATATAGGTAGAAGAGATGAATGATGATGGTGACAATAATGACAATTATTAGCAGCTACCATTTAATGAATCCATACTTGTCCACAGTCACACAATTAAAATGTTAGATTTGAGATGTGAACTTTGTCTCTCCAGGGGCTCCAAGGCCAAACTCAGTCTTCTACAACACAGTTCCTCTATTGTCCTGTGGGGACCATTCAGTACCAGAAATGCAGAAAAGGGAAGGCAGGGACAGGAAAAAGCCCCTACAATTAAAGTTGTAATAGAGACTTGAAGCATATACATTTCCTTTTGGATGGTAAGGGCATTCAAATAAATTGTAATCAATTGAGTGACAGCATAAAGATAACAGATCTTCAGTACATGCTTCTTGTTGTATTTTTTCCTACTCACTAGAACATACTGTTCAAATTTAAGAGATCATTTAGAACTTCTCTTCTGTATTTTTTCCAACTTCTTTAGTTTACTGAAAGCTACAATTGTAGCTACTCAATATATAAAGGCCACTAGGAAATAACGTGGTAAACTAAGTTATCAAAGTATTTCATACTTTATTAAAAATCCAAGTAAAAAAGTAATTAGGTAATCAGCAAATACTATTTTTCTTCAAATCATATCTCATGGGATTGTCTCACGAAAAATCCTTGTAGCAATATCTTGCCTGCCCACCCCCACTGTAATGGGTATGCTTATTGACATAGGCATAAAGATTTGAAATATGGTTGTTAATTAAGTAGCAGTGAATGTGTGGAATTTAATATAGAAAAGGGTAAGAAATAAGAAGTTAACATTTATTTTTCAGAGCAATTTTATCTACTGAATAAAGCTAGCAAATAGCTCAGTATAAATAACTATGTTAAATGGACTCAATGGAAGACTTCTATTTTTGTTTTTATTTCTTCTGCCCCAGGATGTGTTAGTGTTACTTTGTTTCAAAAAAAAAAAAAAAATCAAATATATTTAGTATGAAAACTTATAGCTTACTTCTTGAAAACCACTAGGTAAGTCTATCTCTTATTATCATCTTTATTACTTATTATACTCAGAAGTAACGATTCCTCTTGAGTTCTGAGTGAATGTGTTCATGCCAATTGAACCTCGCATGTTCCCTCCTCCCAACCCTATGCCTTATAACTTGTTTTCTAAAGTTAGAAACAAGTTACATGATATTGAGAATATTCCACCTTAACTTTGATCATACCAATCAATACTTGGCTTGTTTGGGAGAGGAATTTTTAGTTTCCTTAACTAGTAGGAGGTTACTATGTAAAGGAGACTGGATGTAGTCAAAGGTATTTAAAAGCAACAGAGTTTACTCAGATACATGCCTGGTCAATTAGAATTAATCACATTTTTAACTGCTGAGAGTAAAAATTTTATTTAATTAGAAGGACAGTTGACAAGGAAAATCTAGGTTTCCATTTTAAATACATGTTAATGATACACTTTAGAAAGCACTTATATCAGATACGCATCCTTTTCTTTTTAATTAAAGCATCCACTTTACTGTATATCTGCATTTATAGAATGAATAATCCCAACATTTAATTACTAACTCCTAAGTCCCGAGACCTAGTAAATAATTCAATTTTCCTGTCCGTATATGGATAACAGAATAAGGAGATTAATAACAGTAATACAAATAGAGATTGATTAGTACAAATATAGCTACTTACCTCTGATACATAAGCACAAAAGAGAATACAGACATTCCTCAGACATTCCTTACATACTTTACAGGCAGAGGAGAAAGAAAAATCTTAAACTATTCAATTATTACTGGTAGATAATAATTTTTTAATTCAATTCCTGAAGAAAAATTTGTGTTTATATGATAGAAGAGAATAAAGAGAATAGTTTCACGGCCAGCCACCGTGGCTCACACCTGTAATCCTAACACTTTGGAAGGTCGAGGTGGGCAGACTGCTCGAGCCCAGGAGTTCTCGACCAGCCTGGGCAGCATGGTGAAACCTTGTCTCTACAAAAAATCATAAAGAATTAGTCGGGTGTAGTGGTGCATGCCTGCAGGAGGCTGAGTTGGGAGGATTGCTTCAGCCAGGCAGACAGAGGTTGTACTGAGCCAAGATCATGCCACTGCCCTCCAGCCTGGACTCAAAAAGAAAAATAAAGTTTTCCCATGAAAGAAAAGCTGATTAATAGAAACCTTCGCAAAGAATAACCCATGTAGTATTTCTTTCAATTCCTTTTTTTTTTTTTTAAAAGAAAGGCAGACTGCCACATGCAGCACCTCATATGGATGTGTCTGGAATCTTGGAAGCTTGACTAACCTACATTCTCCTATAAATGGACCTTCAGAGCTTGTCTGGAGGTTCTACCAGGGAAGGACAGCTACTCGTATACCCTTGACCAAAGATTGATCCTCTTTTATTGGGGATGGTTGTCCTCTTCGACTGAGAGCACAGCTTTGGGAGGGATGCACATGGAGTGGTGAGGGAGGAAGGGGGCAGCCGCTTAGCCAGCCAGATCAGCCGAATCAACCCTAGTGATGAAGGGGGTGACAGATGTTGCAGCCAGATTGCTCTCAAATTCCATACTCTGTTTTATGTAATATTCAATAACCTTATGAGGGCTGGTGTTACTTCCATTTTATAGATGAGGAAACAGATGCTTAGAGTAGTTAAGTAGCTTGCAGGAAATCACAAAGTTAGGAAGTATGAAAGCCTGCATTCAACCCCAGGCTTGCCTACTTTCATAGTCAGCTCTTAATAATACAGCTTGCTGTTCTGTAAGACCTATCATAAGAAGGAAGCTGTTTGCTAGGAATGTTTTATATGGCCTGAGAGAAACAGAGTTTAGATGCACTGGTATTCAATGTCTGGGCTACTCTAATGTTTTGTAAGGAAATCAAGACAGAATACCTCAAAATGGGACCTTACCAGATACACCAAATTTTATGCTTTCAGTAACTGTACAGCCAATGACCTGTTGATGTTGCCTCTATGGAAAATGCTTTCCAAGTCTCAACCAATCATAACATGAACGTAACTACTCCACTATAGCTGCTTCAGGGAAGGCATTCCCTTCCCTTCCCTTCCCTGGACAACTACTTCCAGAAATTATAAATTGGGAAAAAAGGAATCAACCTCATCACAGCACTTAAACTGAGATTTGTTTGGGCATTATCCCTTTGGCTTGAAAGGCTCCAAGGATCCCTTCCCAAACACTGCCTTTTGAGTGTCCTGTTGCAAAGTCTACTCTGGAATTACTGGAAGGACCCACTCAGAGAATGTCTATGGCCTAAAACATGAGACATAATCTGATAGACTACAATCTACAATCTCATGGAATGTTGCAAAGGGAGTATTATCTACTCTTTGGAAAGTTCATCTCTTTTGAGAACTTGTAGGAAATAAATTAGTATGTAACATTCTCAAATAAACTTATACACTATTAAGAAAAATAATGCAAAGATTTTTTTAAAGTCTAAGAACTTGGCTGGGCATGGTGGTTCACACCTGTAATCCCAGCACTTTGGGAGGTTGAGGCAGGTGGATCTCCTGAGCTCAGGAGTTTGAGACCAGCCTGGCCAACATAATGAAATCCTGTCCCTACTAAAAATACAAAAATTAGCTGAGCATGGTGGCAGGTGGCTGTAATCCCAGCTACTCGGGAGGCTGAGGCAGGAGAGTTGCTTGAACCCAGGAGGCAGAGGTTGCAGTGAGCCGAAATCACGCCACTGTACTCCAGCCTGGGTGACGAGAGGAAAACTTTGTCTAAAAAAAAAAACAACAACAAAAAACCCAAAGTCTCAGAAGTGCAAAAGAATTACAAAGTTTTTTCTGAAAATAAGTATGTATTTTCATATTTGTATAGCAATTATTTTATATATAGATTATGTCATTTCTTTAATAAATAATAAATTTAATTCTCTTTCTTAAGAGACAGGGTCTCATTCTGTCACCGAGGCTGGAGTGCAGTGGTATAAACTGTAGCTCATTGCAGCCTTGAACTCCTGGGTGCAAGCAGCCCTCCTGCCTCAGCCTCCCAAATAGCTGAAGCTACAGGTGCATGCCACTGATTCTAGCAAATTTTTAAATTTTTTTGTACAGCTGGCATCTTGAACTCCTGGCCTCAGGTGATCCTCCGATCTTGGCCTCCCAAAGTACTGGGATTACAGACATGAGACAGCACACCTGGTCAAATTAATTTCTTTTAAGGACAAAAACAGAACTTACCTTTGGAAATCAGCAACCAACTTGACATCAGCTATGACAATCTTATGCTCAATAATCATGTGCTTCAGAAGTTTGTCTTGTTCAGCCACAGGAAAATGTTCTTCACAGAAAATACAAGTCACAGATGGAGAACCTTCTAAAGTGGTGGTGCCACCTGAACTTTCTGGCAGGGAAAGTGGCTCCAGGATACAATCCTTACTGTCTGGAAGAGACAAAAAAAAAAAAAAGAAAGAAAAGAAAGAAGAAAAAAAAAGAAAGAAAAGCTGAAGCCAACTCTTCATATGGATGATTTCTCATCTCCCGCATTAAAAAGATCCTAAAGATATTTACATGTATCCAAAAAGAAAAATACATGGTGCTAGAGAGTAGGATACTTTATTATAATTTTAAAGAGCTTTTGCAGCCCAGAGGCAGGGAGTATTGCGAAGCAGCTCAAATTCTTCATTTGCTTGCTTGGATTGGGGAAACCCATTTGTCAGGGCAGCTGTTTAAGCATTCTTCTTGGACACTGGCCAATGGCAGCAATTCCTGGGGTACTCGCAAAGGGGAAGGCTGCAACACTCTGGGTTAAGGTTCTAATGCTCAGTTGTGACCTACGGCTGAGAATCATCACATTAAGGGATATAAATAGTATACATTAAGGCTACAGATGATGCCAGGCCTGTCTTTTAAGCTGCTTCCTGTTGCACCTGCAAACTCTTTCTTGTTTCCAATTATTTGACACAAATAAAGAAAAAGACAGTTTTCACGCTGGGTAGACATAGTATGTGCTGGGTGGCCCTGATGATAATTTTTTATGCTGATTTATGTTTATCATTTGCCTATTATACAAGTATGTATTACAATTCAGGCTTCTGTGAACAAATAGATGAACGCTCAATCATTAGACATATGTGATGTGGTAGACATTTTTCCTGGCTGTATTATTCCTTTTCCTAACAACATCCACAGTATCGTTAAGAGCTGAAGTGTGTAAAGTCTATGTCTCTCATTTCAGGGCCTAAAACCACAGCCAGTTGTGACAGGAGCCCCCTTGAGTCTGCCAGAGTGGACGTCTAGAACTGTCACCTTAAACAGGCTATTTAGTAGTTACTAATCAGGAAACTGGGGTAAACAAACTAGGGTAAGACCTCTGGCATTTTCAGAGGGGCGGGCAACCTTCTTCAGAGAGAAAAGAACGTTCTTCAGAAAGAAAGATGGCTATGCCACAGACAAGTTTTCAGAATTAGATTAACATTAGTTCTCCTGTTAAAGTTTCCTATTTTTATCTTACTTTATCTTATTTTTAAAGGCATTTTAAATTTATAAATTGATTTTTTCTTTTTTTTTGAAGCCTACAGCACCCAGTATTCCCAGGTGGTCTCCCATCCAAGTACTAACCAGGCCCAACCTTGCTTAGTTCCCGAGATCAGACGAGATCTAGCATGTTCAGGGTGGTATGGCCATAGACAAATTTATAAATTAATTGAATCAGTCGCCAGTACATTGCTGACCATATGTTAAGAATTATATAAATGATGTAAGAAGGCAGCATTCATTCATTCACTTAACAAAAATCAACTGACTGTCTACTGGGATGTTCAACGTTGCATGATATGGTCATTATGGTCATTGCCACCAAGGTTAAAGTGCTCACAGGTTGTTTGAAAGTACAAACAAGTTAAAAATATACAGATGGAGAATGTACAGGGTTTACAGGAGCAGAGTTTGGGAGAGTCACTAAACTGAGCTGGAGAAGGAAGGTGTCCTATAGGAGAGAACCTCTAATACATTACTCATACATACTCTAGTTACATTAAAGTATGCTAAATCAGACTGCTTATCTTTGTTCACAAAATTACTTACTAATATCAGAGAAGTTGAAAACACATAGGATATACATAACAGTAGGGAGAATATTTAAAATACATAAGCACTTTAGAAGCACTATTAACAAAACTGGCATTATCAATGACTATATTTATTAAATTAGGTAATGAAATCAAGGAGTTCTGGAATTCTACAGTTCTTCAGTTGTAGGTTATATTTTTTAGTAGTAGATTAGCTTTCATAAAAATTTAAACTCAAATGTGAAAAACAGAATGGGGAAAGAGAGATAAGTAATATACTTATTAAACTCTATGACAGTATTTTATATCCCCTAAGTATACAGTAACGAAAGGCAGCATATTCTAAACAAAGGTAACATTAGTAAACATTACCTGCCATGTAGGAAATAATAAGTACTATATGACATCCCTTCCACAAATTTAATTGAGATATATATATATATATATACACACACACATATATATATAAATTTATTTTGTTTTGACTGCTGAAAACAAACCCATAGCATTAATCATCATCATCAATAGCACAACTAACATTTATTGGCTACTGGCTATTTGCAAATTACCTGTAAAGTGCGTTAGGACATTTTCCTACTTAATTTTAACTATCTTATTCAGTAGTACTACTACAATCCAATCTTCCAGATGAGAGAATTAAGATTTAGAAAAATTAAATAAGTTCCCAAAGTCACAATGTTAGTGAGTAGCCGAAGCATTTTGAGTTGAGCCTAAACTCAAACGCTATGCAATTCTGTTCCCCGTACCAAATGCCATTTCTCCAACTCTGTTTCTTATTTAGTATGTATGTTCGGTGCTGTGAATTTATATGTACATATTTATAAACTACTTTGAATTTATATGTATTCTGCCAATGTCCTCCAGTCTCCCCGATACCACCATAGCAATTCTTACACAAATCTCAGTAGCCCACAATGTCCAAAAACCACTAGAGTACAGTTCAAGACCATAATTTTATTTTTTTCCCAATGTTTTATTGTAATCTATTATTCCTCTGTGGTTTACTTGTTTTTCCCTTTTGTATGTCTAATGCTCAGTTATTCTTTTTTCAAATTATTCCTAAGAGAATGGACCTAAATATTCACATATAGAAGAACCAAACTGCCTGTGGTTACTGCAAAGGTCTAGAAACAAAATCACGAATATGCAAATGTCATGCAAGAGAAACTTGTGGTTTGGGAGGTATTAAGTTGTATTTGGGGGCTTGAGTTACTATGTCACAGATTCTCACTCTGTTACCCAGGCTGGAGTAAAGGGGCACAATCTCAGCTTACTGCAACTTCCATGTCCTGGGTTCAAGTGATTCTCCTGCCTCCAAGTGATTCTCCTGCCTCAGCCTTCCAAGTAACTGGGATTACAAAGCCCCGCCACTATGCCTGGCTAATTTTTGTATTTTCAGTAGAGACGAGGTTTTCGCTGGCCTGGCTGGTCTTAAACTCCTGACATTAAGTGATCCTCTAACCTCAAACTCCCAAAGTGCTGGGATTATAGGCATGAGCCACTGTACCCAGCCAGAAAATAAGTTTTAATATAACAATTTTAGATAACAAGATTTTATAGTTTTCTCTCTGATTCCCAAAGGATTTTTTGGAACCTTGCTTAATATTATAACAGCATTGATCATATGGAGTAATTTGTTTATCTCTTCGTCTTCTTGCCCAGCTTCAGGTTGTTAGCCCTTAGAAGGCAAAGTAAGTCCTAGTTGTCTTTATTTACCTGGCATGTACACTGAGTTAACCTGCTACCCCATTATGACAGAATCATTGTGTACTTATTTTGTGCCAGGCATTGTTAACAACTTCACATGTACAGTATTAACTCAATTAACCCTCACACTAACCCTATGAAGGAGATTCCACTGAGGGGGTGAGAGGTGAAATGACCTGCCCACAGCTATCAAGTGATGAAGCCAGGGTTTGAATCCAAGCAGTCTTGCTTAGATGAAGAGGTTAGATCTTTTCCTATAGGAAGTAAAGCCACTTATGATCTAAACTGATATACGAATGGACTGGAAAGAGGCAGGTCTCAATCTGGGGAGACCAGATGGGAAACTACTGCAGTGTCTGGGTCTTAGGGCTTGTCTGAGACAGCAACAATGGCAGTGGATAGAGGAGAGGAGCGGGATAGAGGTTAAACGGACAGTTCTTGATCACTGATTGGCAATAAGGAGTGAAGAAGAAGCCTCCCATGTTCCTGGCTGGGGACATAGTACAAAATGAAGTGTTAGTCACCAGTCAAGGAATACACGCAGAGAAGCAGGTTTTGTTTGTTTTATGGCAGGGAAGGATAATGAATTATATTTAAATGTACTCACTTGACCTGTTCAGAAGTTAGATATTCCTCTTATGTCTGGTAAATAAGGGCAGCACAGACTGGTGACTTATGTGATGCATCTGTACTATTCTGTTTGCCGGGCCCTTCTCCAGGTTCTCCTGTAGGCTTGACCCACCCCCATCTCTCCATGCCCAACAAGATAAAATACCTCTGTTCTAATTAATTATTTACGTGTATGCCTCTATTACTCTGCTAGTCTATGAACTCCTTAAGATCAAGGACTAAATCTTACTTATTTTTATACAGTTGGTATATAATACGGTGGCCTGGCTGGGTGTGGTGGCTCATGCCTGTAATCCCAGAATTTTGGGAGGCTAAGGTGGGTGGATCACAAGGTCAGGAGTTCAAGACCAGCTTGGTCAACATGGTGAAACTCCATCTGTAATAAAAATACAAAATTTAGCTGAGTATGGTGGTGCATGTCTGTAATCCCAGCTACTTGGGAGGCTGAGGCAGGAGAATTGCTTGCACCCAGGAGGTGGAGGTTGCAGTGAGCCGAGTTCATGCCATTGCACTCAAGCCTGGGTGATACAGCAAGACTCTGGAAACATGAAATAATATAAAATAAAATAATAAAAATACATAAAAAAAGAATCCAGTGGCCTGGAATAGCTGAAACAGCTATTGAATAGCTGGTATTTGATAAATATTTGCTGAATGAAGACATAAAAGAATGCATACAGACCAGAGGTGTTCAGTTTCTAGGAAAGTCCTGTTTCAGGAAACACCTATATGACTCTCTTTAGGGGAACTTTCTCTGCCTAAGACTGAGGGCAGTCCAACTATTTTTACAGCCAGATGTTTAGTGCTATGGGCCTCAGTGTAACAGGCCCGCTAATAAATAATGATGGAAAAATTACATTGAATTCTAAGATAATAAATATTCCAGAGAGTAATAAAAGTACGTCATATTTAAAAAATTTAAAATTCCTTTATCACTCTTCATGTAAGGATACTCTCCAGTAAGCAAGGAACAAGTGGCATTTGGAAATCAGAGTAAGTTATACCACTCTATCAG